AGAAGAAGAAGAAGAAGAAGAAGAAGAAGAAGAAGAAGAAGAAGAAGCAGCCGCCAGAGGCTTCTGTAAGCCAAGGCTGTTCTCCAGCTCACTACTGTAGCCAAAGATGACCTTGAATTTATAATCGGCCTGAGTGCTAAGACTATAACTGTAGACTATCACAAATCAATTTATTAGATGCTGGGTATTGAACATAGGGCCTATGCATGCTAGGCAAACACTGTCAGTCAAGCCACATTCCTTCAAGGGTATTCTGTTGGGGTGGCTTGTGCTATCCTTGCCAGCCAGGGAGCTCTGGAGGCCTCCGAGGGCCAGCTGGCCTGGGGACAGCTCCAAGTCAGAGGCCACAAGCTGTGGTGTTGCTCTGGGCTTGCCAACTCTGTCACTTCTTGAGTGGGATAAGGTTAGGGGGTGACTCTGGCAGTCCACAGCCTGTGACAAGGCCTCAGCCCAAGGAGGCATCAGCCAGGAAAATAAGTGTCCTCTCTGCATGCCCTTCTGGCACAGACAAGAACACGAGGAGAGGACCCAGGCCAGCGCTCTGGTCCAGGAAACAGACCCTGGTAGGGTGGCTTACTTCCTCCTCTTTAAGCCCTACTGCCCCCTCCCCCAGGAGGCTGCTGGGGAGGAGCCTCGTGGATGCTGCCACACCCGACACCTCCCAGGCCCCTGGCCTCCTTTGAAACTGAACCAGAAGTGACAGCTCCTCTGGCTGACCCGCGTCTAAGGTACAGAAACCTGGCTCAAATTGATTCCGCCCAACCTCATCCTCACCCCAGAGTGGGCCGAGGTAACTGTGACATCAGGCAAAGGGAAGGAACTGGAGGAAGTGGCTGGCAGCGCAATCTCCCCTCTGCCAAGAGGTTTTGCCCACAAACTGCCATGGTGATGGGTACAGCCTGCTCCTTCCAGGCTCCAGGGCCTCAAGCCTTCCCCTAAGCAGCCCGAGGAGACATAGTCCCATCCCCGGAACCTGGATTCCCACCCTCGACCTCTGCACAAGGCCCTGGACCAGAGTTGGCAGTGACATTTTCAGGGGCTGTGGCTGCAGGTTTAACAGGTCACCTGGGTCAGTTTGACCCCAGAACAGTGGGCCATTCTGTCCACCCTCTGAGCCAATCAATCCCTCTTGTCAATCCTTTTGGCCCTGGAGGCCACACCCTCCTCCAGTCGGTCAGGCCATCTACCCTAACTAAAGGGACTTCCCTTTCCTACTTGGTAAACCCCTTCTCATCCTTTAAGAGTAAATGTCACCTCCTTTAGGAAGGCCCCTTAGATGCCCCTTATAGGATCCCTGTGCCACTACAGAATTCCACTCCACCCCAGTGAAGGTGACCGTTTGCCACCCCTGCTTGTCAGTCAGTGGTGATGAGCTCAGCTGAGTGAATGGAATACAGAGTGTAGAGAATGGACGGATTCTATCTATACAGACTTGGATGGTTGAATTGACATCCATGGGATGCCTCTGCCTGTCTGCACAGGGTTGGGAGGGTGGTACCTGTCTCCTCCAGAAGCACAGCGGCAGGAAGCAAGATCTAGATGACCGGGACGAATCTGTAGAAGCCCTATGTAATCCTGGCATGGATCAGGGTGTGAATTTAGGTCTAGAACCCCTATTCTGCTGCTCCCACTGCATCTACCCCAGGCCGCTTCTCCACCCACCCTGAGCCACCTGTCCCACCTACCACATCTTCCCCATTAGGATGGGAATGCATTCCTCTGCCCCCCCCCAACTGCGGCTTTGGAGCTGCCTAGGGGTGATATGGCCAACAAGGCCCTTTCAGAAACAGGACAGGGGCTCACAGGGCCTCTGCCTTCTCCATCCCCGCAGTCACTGGGCTCCTCAACTGTCTGTGGTCCTCACTAGACAGAGACTACTCTCCCTCCCTTCCCCTCCCCCAGTCTCCTCTGGCATCCCCAGGAAGAAAGCTGGACCTCCCCCTCCCTGATATCTCCTGAGTTCTTCAAAGCATCTGACAGAATGTTCTCACCACACACAGTGCAGCCATCTAAAATCAGAACCCCAATTTGGGAAGGCGGTGTGTGTGGTAGAGCTCCTTACAACCCAGCTGGAAGAACCTGGGTGTCGGAGGTAGCTTATAGCAGAAGGCATCTAGAGAATGGTGCAATGGAGTTGGGAGCTGGGGAGTCCACCCTTTCCAGCCATCACCCTTAGCTCTGTCTGTGGTGCCCCCAATTCCCAGAAGCCCCAGGGGCAAAGAAGTCTGCAACATCAGTGAGAATTGTTTCTGCCCTGTATTCTGCACTGAAGGGAAAGATGCTTCAGGGACCAGCGACCTGAAAGATCCCTCCTCGCCCCATCCCATCTCTATTCTCAAGTCCCTGCCAAGGGACAGGGAAGCCGCAGATGCTGACCACAGCTGATGGGACAAGGTAAGGATGGATGGCTGTCAGGAGCTGAGCTGTATTGTGATTTGAAGATTCTGAAAGCTGCACATAGAGATACACAGAGTCACCAACTCCCAGCATTGCCGGAGACAGAGAGGTAAGGCAGTTGAAGTATACAGGAATAAAGAGATAGCTGAGGGAAACGCTCAGCTCCAGGAGGGAGTCACGGGAACAAGGGAAAGGTGTGGGCCAAGGTGGCTGAGCAAGATACCCAAGGCACACACTGGGTCCCCTCACCCTAAGGCCCCTGTAAGTACAAGGTATACCAGGGAGGGGTATATCCTTCAATGTCGTATCTAGGCCCTTCACCTGCCCATGCTGGCAATGGCCCTGAGAGACGGTCCCAGGCAGAAACAGATACATGCAGAATGAAGAGACAAAGATGGGCAAAGAGAGGTGGGGCTTGTGGAGATAAATGGGAGACACAGACAGACAGACAGAAAATGGCACACAGGCAGGAAAAAAAAAAACCATCTTGGTCCTCTTGATCCTATCCAGTAGGGCCTGACTATGCAGCTTGTCTTTGGGGTTCACGATGGACCCATGAATCTTGAAACTTTTTCCTTTGACGTGGAGTGAGCCTGAGGTTTCTACTACTTGCTACTGAAAGACACCTGGGACATTAGGTTCCCCCTCCCATCATCAGGAGTGCCTGGTGATACGGGAAGAGCAGGAGGTGGTCCCAGTGATCTTAGGAAGAACTACCCAGCAGTAAAGTCTAGAACCAGCTACGGCAGAGTGCAGAGCACGGGTGCAGAGGGCCCTTAGACAAGCAGGTATAGAAAGCGAACAAATGCCAGCACTGGGAAGACTGACGTCTAAAATCCTCCTCCCTAGCTCCTACTATACCATTGTGCTAAATGGACACTGTATTAAACTGACTCCGAACAACTTATCATTTAACTCACAGATTAGTGCATCTCTCAACCCTCATCAGAAAAGCTTCTATGTGTAGTAGACCATGATTAACAGAGACCTACAACTGATCAACCCGCCGAGAATGAGCGAGCCTGGAGCCCTTGGTCCTAAGTGGGACAGCTACTTCATCCCTCCCCTCCCAAAGCACAGAGATCCCTGCAGAAAAGAGACGGCAGCGTGTGTGAGCGCCAGAGGCGGCGGATAACTACAGCTGTTTCCGGGTCACGTGTGGGCAGCCGTACATCGGAACTCAGAGCAGGCATGACAGCACGCACAAAACCTCGGCAAGCTCAAGACAGACAAGATCCAAGCATGGAGAAGGGAAGTGGACTTGAAGTTCTACCCCAGCCAAGGAGCTATGAGCACCTGATGGCCGCTCAGAAAGGAGAGGCAGCGTTCTTCAGGGACGCAACCCTTGAGAAGCCACCCTTACTCCAGTAGATAGCCCTACGCCCGCACACATTCTGGCGGCCCTTGGGTCACTCAGTTGATAAACAATAAACACATGAACTGGAAGGAAATCGTTGTGGGGAGCTGGGAGGGGAACTGAGTGGAGGGATGAGGGTT